GGGGGGGGGCAATACACAAGAACAGGGAGGGGAATGGAAGAAAAAAGCAGATGGGAAAACAATTAGGCAGGTTTGCATGGGCTAAGTGGAACAGAGGTAATTAATGATGTATGCACAGCCTTGGAACAACAGGGCTCTAGGATACAGGAATTGAGACATGGTTGGAATGGGGAAAAGGGGGAAATAATGTTAAGATGCTTGGCTGTCTCTAGAATCTTGGTTTCCCTGGCATACCATTATAAAATACACATTTCAGGGGGAGAGAAAGGAATAGCCAAAAATACCACCATAGAAAGCTTGTAAGTCCATCTTCTGTCTATAACTGATTGGAATACCTTAAATGGGGCTACAATATGCCCAGTGAAGGAGGCTTCCTGCGGAGCCTCTGCATTACTTAAGACCATAGGTGAAATCCTGAAGCACATCCAGAATCTTCTGAGTGGGAAATTTCCACTTGAAAGGACAGGCAGACCAGCCTGGAGCAGCTAGAACAGAAGATACTTCTTGAAAGAAAGACCAACAGGAAAAATACAAAACAATAACAGCGGTCCGACTGACTACTACAAGAACAACAGCAATGAAGCTGCAAGCTAAGTCCTACAATGTTCAATAGACTCCTGTGAACTCGGGTGGAGACCTGGTTGACCAGCAGTGTGGCAAGACCTGGGGCCTCTTGGGCCCAGAGTCAGTGACATAGCTACAGAGGACTAGAGTGGAGAGTGAAGTATCCAGCTGATAAGAAAAGAGGGCATATGCACAAGAATACCCACACTTGCAGATAATACCCACTTGACCTGGCTTCAATGACTGGATGATCAGAGCTCAATGAGAAGAAGAAAGAAGAGAGGGAAAAAAGTATTCTGATACAATTTGATGAACTTGACCTACACTTGTGGATGCAGTAGCTCAAAAAAGGGAACAAACTGTTACTGTGAGGATCATTCCCACCCCTTCCATACACAGAGTAGACAGGGATGGGCAACTTGGACATTGGCTACCCAAATGGGGGGAGGAGGGCTACAAAAGCAAGAAGTGACTGGCTTACAAGCTTTAAAGAGGGAGCCTAGATCCAGAGGGTGCCAAGGAAGGTAGAATCTCCAGTGAGTAGTAGCCAATCTGTCTGCGCAGGGCTGATGAAAGGAGATGGGGATAAGACTCTTGTGGTACAAGAGTAAATAATTACTATCAGGACTGACTGTGAGGGTTGGAAATGTAAAGGTAGACATTTAGTAGCAAAAGGAGGGGAGTGGTTGACTTTGCAGTCTAGGAGTGGAGGTCCCTGGTACCATCAAGGGAGAAGAGTGGCATGCGGGATCCTACCCAGAGAAGCAGTGATGCCAGAGATGGAGGCAGAGACAATGATGTGGAGAGATGGAGTGGCTGGGGACTTTAGACCCATAGAGAGAGAGGGGCTGTGTGCTGAAGACCAAGGGACAGGCTTACAGGATATGCATAGAGTAGACTGTAATCATGGCAATGAAACAATACACGCTAGGATGAATGTAAAATTAATGTTCTCTCATGTAAACTATCACGTAATTCACAATAAAAACTTAAAAAAAAAAAATTAGCCTGCTCTATTTGGCCAAACATTTAATTAACTCATCCCTAATATGATGGCAGGAAGTGCGGTTGCCTTGGCAGGGGCCAGACCAAATACCTCACAGGTCTTATACTACCCACGGGCCAGATATTCCCCACCCCTGCTGTGTAAAGTTTCCGAGGCTGTAAATCTCTATGGGAGCAGAAAGCCTCATCTTTCTCCTGGGGAACGACTGGTGGATTCAAACCACTGGACGTGCATTTTACAGCCTAGTGCATGACCCACGACACTAGCAGGGCTCCCAAAATAGTCACTATCTGGTCTTTAATACAAAGAGTGTACTGACCACCCTTCTAGAGGGATCCCAGGTAATCCTGTATCAGAAGCATCCAATAAGGGTCAAGGAGTTTTGTTATGTAGGACTGATGCTCTTCCCCAGAGCTGACAAACAAACTCCCTGCAGGGTGGCCCTGGGACTCATGTGGGAACAGGCACCCACCAAGGGCTTCTCATACACTGGCCTGCAGGACTGGACTCTGATTCCTGTGGGCAGTTCTTAGCTTTAACTATTTAAACACAATTTTAGGGCAAAGCCACAGTGAGGGGAAGCATGGGAGAGAGTCTGACCTGTCTTGGGCCTGACGGTGGTCAGTGGGTCCAGGTAGTCCGCAAGGTCCCTGTGCTTGCGGTCAAGCGCAATCTCGAAGGCGGTCTTGTCCAGCACGCTGAGGTGGTCCAGATTGGCTCCCTTCTCCACCAGCTGCTGGGCCACACTCAGCCTCCCACTGAGTGCTGCCAGCATCAGCGGACTCCAGCCCACAGTCTGAGCAATGTGGTTGGGGTCTGCCCCCCACTCCATCAACAGACGCACCACGGCTTCATGCCCGTGCTGGATGGCGGCCATCAGGGCTGTGGTGTTCAGCAGCTCATCCCTGCTGCCCCCTGCCCTCAGCTGTTCACTTGAGGGGTCCACAAAAGCACCAGCTTCCAGAAGCAGTTTCATCACGCCCAGGTGGCCACCCCGAGAGGCCACTGTTAGCACGCTGGCCCCCAACCGGTTCTGGGCATTAACATCGGCCCCATGATCCAAGAGGAGGTGTGCTACACTTGCGTGCCCGAACCTACCAGGGAGATGGAGAACAAATGTAACAACCCAGGCACACAAGTCTCAATTGTCATTAAGTATAACACCAAACCTGAAATCCACTCAGAGTGACCCCATAGGACAGAGGAGAAACACCCCATAGGTTGTCAATCTTTACAGGAGCAGACTGACATGTATGTCTTCCTCAGAGCAGCTGGTGGGTTCAAACTACCAACTATCCGGCTTGCAGCTGGGTGCTTTAGCCATGGTGCCACTAGGACTCCAGTAATTACAAATCACTGCTTAATAAAAAGCTGTGTTCTGGTGTCAGGCAGTCATGGGCATCTCCTAGACATTACCTGAAAGGTGAGCAACCTCCCTGCCTGAAGCCAACTTCAGCTCTGCCATCCACTAGTTGTGTAACCTTGAAAACAAACTTGAGCTTCCTCATGCCTTCATTTGCTCACCTGTAAAATGGGGATAAAAATGTCTCCTAGACATTACCTGAAAGGTGAGCAACTTCCCTGCCTGAAGCCAACTTCAGCTCTGCTGTCCACTAGCTGAGTGACCTTGAAAACGAACTTTAGCTTCCTCACGCCTTCACTTGCTCACCTGTAAAATGGGGATAAAACTATACCGACCTCAATGGTTATGAACTCTTGGTGTGGCACTGTAGGATCAGCACAGTTCAAACCCACCAGCTGCTCCTCAGAAACCCTATATAGGGTCGCTATGAGTCAGAACTGACTCCTTGGCACTTAACAACAGCAATGTATTTGCTGGTCTTTTTTCTGTTAAGCAGCATGCCAAGGTCACCCAGCTGGGAAGGGCCTATGAGAATCAGAACCCAGACCTGTCTGAGTCCTACCCTCTGTTCTTTCCTCTACCCTGCCTCCCACAGCTCACAGTATTTATTTTATTCTGCTTTATAATCTAGTAGTCTGTCTCTCTGCCTGTTGTGATTAACCCAAGGGCAGGGCCTATGTCTGAGTCATTCACACACACACACACACACACACACACACACACAGAGAGAGAGAAAGAGAGAGAGAGAGAGAGAGAGAGATCCTTCTCCATGAGACAGCGGACCTGGTGCCAAAAAAACATGGTTTGGCTTCGGTCTGCAAGGATGGGCAGAGCACCCTACGTGGATGCCTCCTGCCACCTACTGGCAAGAATGCTTCCAGCAGGCAGCTGAGAACTGGCCAGAATTTCTGCAAGGAAGTTTGAGCAAAGGCCTCTCTGGAATGCTGGGGAAGGCAGTCGGGTTCTCCCAACACTCTCTAACATCAGGAAGAAAAAAGCAGGTGCCTCTTCCTTCCTTCGTTGTCTCCTCTCAGGCTGCCCCACCTCAGAGGGCCATTCTTCCTGGGCTCAGAGCTCTGTGTCAGGACTGGAGGCGGCCTGTTGTTGTTAAGTGTTTTCAAGTTGGTTCCAATCCATAACGACCCAGTATAGGGTTTCCAAGCAGCGACTGGTGAGTTTGAACCTCCAAATTTGTGGTTCCAATCAACCATATGGTTCTGTGTTTATCCTACAGCGCCATACCAGGACTCAAGTTTTAATTTCATAGTCACCTCTGCATCCTAAGGCAGCGTTCTGAGGTGTTAGCTATACCTCATCAAAACCCTTTGGAGGCTCAACCAGAAGTAAAAAGAAGAGGGGAAAAAAATAAATATATATTCTCATACAATTTGATGAACTTGACCTACACCTATGGAAG